CGTGCTGTACGATATCCTAGGCAGTAGGCGAGCCACTGAAGAGGTGTTAGGAACAACACTCTGCTTAGTTGAGCAGGCTTTGAACTCGAGGCCAATCACTCCCGTTAGTACTGATTCACGTGAGTTAGAAGCGTTAACCCCAAACCATTTTTTGCTTGGACAACATGCCACAAGCTTTCTTTCGCTTTTACCCGGGGAGCACTTCAATCACAAGAAAAGGTACATGCGAGCGCAGTCATATGCTAACGCGATTTGGTCTCGTTGGCTTCGAGAATATGTTCCCTCGCTGAATAAGCGTGTCAAGTGGCACACTCATTCTGACTTCACTCTTAAAACAGGCGATCTCGTGTGGGTGATTGAGCCCGATAGTCCGCGTGGGTACTACCCTCTTGCCCGAATCGTCAAGCTAAACTACGGACAGGACGGTTGCGCTCGATCCGCCCTTGTTAAGACCGCAACCCGTGAAGTCACTCGGCCGACCGTTAAGCTCGCTCCGGTTCTTCCTTCTTCAGGGGGTAGGATGTTTCAATGCAAATGTAGAGTATAGATGCATATAAAACAAGAGTATAGATGCATTTAAAATAAGCACAGTTGGCCGAGTGGCCTAAGCTAACGCCGATTATATTTGTGAAATAACAGTCGACGTAGGTTTGAGTCCCCCACCTGCCCATGTATTAATATACTAAAAACGGGGGTAACATCCTATTTTAACTGTTTTTTGGTTCTAGTTCGGTTCAGCCTTGATTAAGACTGACCGCCAAAAAGAGAAATTTGTCTCAAGGACATTACCGACCGGTTCTTGTGGCTAGCTTGCGCCGATTTGTACCAAAAAGGAACAGATGATAAAAAGTTATATGATGTTTTTGATCGATAGAGAATGCCGAAATTTATCTATTTGCCTGAGTTATTTACCGAAAAATATCTCTTACTAATTTACTGTATTGGATCAGTTTTTGGAGATTAGAGCGAGCATAGGTAGCATACATTTTGTAGGAACTTTGTGCGATACTTGTTAGAAGATGGTTACCTTACAAGATCTTGCAAGGCGTTTGCAAAAAGGCTATCTTGCTAAATTTATGCAAAATCTTGGTGGTCTCAGCTTGAAAATTCCGACAAAGTTAAATCGAGATAAACTATAGTATCTCACTTGTAGTGTTGAAAAGGTTGTATCTCACGACGTCTATAAGCAGGGGCGGATCTAGGATTTTCTCGAGGGAGGGTGGATTTTCTCGAGGGAGGGCGGAAAATTTTGCCGACTTTTTTTTGTTTAGGTCGACCAATTTGATTTTCTAAGCTGTACCAAATCGCTATAAACGACCCTATTTTGAGCAAATTTTCTGCGCCTCAGGCGAATTTTAGAAAGGCGTTTTTAGGCACTTTTTGGAAAATTTTGACTCCTTGGGTCGGCAGGGGGTCGAATCCCTGAGGGGAGCGTATCCCCATCTCCACAAACCCCCCCCCCCCCCCAAAAAAAATCCGCTGGTGTCCATAAACCTTTTGCAGTAGCGTGCCGACCGCCCATTTTTTTCATATCAGTTTTGTTTTCCAGTTTTTCAAAAGCCTGCCCATTTAGTCTTATTTATTTTGATTGAACAACGTTAAACTTTTTTGAAGGCATCTTTGGCGTCAATATAAAATAAATTTGAGAGGATAACGTGCTTGGAAAAACGTTTTTTTTTTAGGTCAAAGCTTTTCAAAACTGCCGTAAAATATCATTTTTGACGTTTTTCTCTAAAAATTTTCCATCAGCTCACAAATTTTGACAAAATAGAGTTATTACTATACCAGGGGAGCTCGTAAACTTAATTTGGTCGACCTAAATAAAAACATTTTAAAAAATTTCAACAAAATTAAAAAAAAACGGCCTGTCTCCACTCAAAAAACTCTTACTCACATCGCAGATTTTTTTCGAATTTTTGAAATTTTGAGTTTATATCAATCCTTAAACTGGTGATCAGCCACTGATCTAGGAATTTCTAGAAAGAAACTGAGTTTCAAAAACTGTGAACCACAAAACACTATAAATATCTTACAAGGAGCAGTAGATACAAGAGGCAGATCTAGAATTTTCCGAGGGGAACTGTTTTTCAGAAAATTTTCAAACCTTTTCGACCTTTGATTTAGCTCAACCAAATTGTTTTCCGAGCGCTTTCAGAAGATTATAACGACCCTCTTTTGATAAAAAAAATTTTGCGCCACAGGAAATTTTGTGGAAAAACAGGTCAACAATGCCGTTTTCGGGCACTTTTTTGAAAATTTTGACAAAAAAAATCGCGGCTTTTTGGTGCACGCTCCCCTTCAAAATTAGTATATATTGCCGCCTGAGCCGCTTTTAGATAAACTTTAGGGTTGGTCGGCCGAAAATTGATGTCATAAAATATACCAAAGGGGAACCCTTATGTCGGTCAGGGGGTCCCCCCCCCCTAAATCCGCCTCTGCATTTTCTCTTTCGAGAAAAATTATGCTCTGCAGTTGAGTTTTTGTTTTTAAGAAAAAACGAGCCAAAAGCGACAATTTTAGGCATTTTGTAGATGGCCTTGACCTAAAAATTGCTTTTTTTTCTGTGGGCGCTCACCCATCAAAGTTGGTACATATAAGTGGCGAACGTGCCTTCAGAAAAACGTTAAGGTCGGTAGCTAAAAAGGATTGTCGTATAAAAATAATATACAAGGGGACCTTTTGAGTTGCTAGGGGGACAAATTTCTGAGATTAAACGAACATAAAAAATGAACCCAACTTTTTCGTTTTTCTCGTGCTCTTGCTTTTTACAAATTTTCCAAGTCGTCTGTTATTACGTGTAACTTGTTTTCATTTGCGGCCTTCTGTCCTATCTCGTTTTTTTCTACTTTATTGCCGCCGCCCCTTTAAATCCGTTACTGCGTTGTTTAACGCATCAAACTGCTCTTGAAATTGTTTTTGCTATTTTATGCTAAATTGGTACTTCGAGTCTCTCAAAATTTTGGTCCGAAATCTTCATAAGAGTTTTATCGGTGTAAAATGAGAGGGTTGAGAAATTAGACGACAAGCAAATTAGACGATCAGAAACTAACGGAATTTAAACAATAACTTGCGTGAATTTTGTTATTTGTTTACAGACTTAAAGGGAGTTGAGAAATTAGACGATAAGCAAATTAGTCGGAGGCACTTAAAAGGAAATTAGACGATTTTGCAAAACTGCAATTGTGGGAAAATAGACGAAAGTGAGAGAGACTAAAATTGCTTACAGATAAATAGCGCAAGAAAAATAAAATTGTTTGCAGACAACCAGCATTGGATTTCCTTGAATAAAAACCGATTATAATTGAGTTTCCTTGTCAGAGTCCACAAAAGTGAAAACAAATCGATTACAATCAATTAAAAATGGATTATAATATTACTATTTTTTGAGGCAGCAAAATCCTTTTTTCATCCATTATAATCGATATCTTTTCACTTCTGTATACACTGACAATGAAACTAAATTAGAATCAATTTTTCCCACTTTACTGAGATGCGAATTTCAACGCACATAAAAACTTTTTTACGTTTTAAACTTAAGTTGGTTATGTTGGTTACTTGTTCTTCAATTTTAATTTTTCTGCCCACTTTAATATCTTTGTTACTTTTTATGCTACTCAAAAATTGAATTTTGTTCCTTTCAACAATTTTGTTAAATTATTAGAAACTTTTTTGGGGAGGGGGGTAAAGTTGGAAGTGGACTAACTCCCCTTCCATTACCCACCCCCCCTAGCGTTTGCCCATTTACAACAAACCCCCCCCCCCCCCAACGTAACATATGGTTCAAAGTTTGGAGTGGGGGGATTGAAGGGAGCAAAAGGGCAAACGTTGGGGGGGAATCTTTTTCCAATTTGAGGTTAGGTTTAAAAATGGATTAAGCCGTACACTCGCTTTGCAAAGTTTCCGCATAACTCACTTGATAAATGCAGAAACTCTTGCAAAGTTTTGCTTGAGGCGCGAAACAAAAATAAAGTGGAAAAAAAATCCATTTTAAAGTGATTTCCTACTTAGGCTCTTTTTCCTCCCCCACCTGCAAATTTTTATGATTAAAATCAATATTCACTTTAACCGATTGTCATGAAAATTGACATGCAGACTAATTAGTCCATGGTAAACATGTTTAGTCTTCATTATCAACCTTGTAAGACCACTCGTTAGGCCATAAATTGATGCTCGTGTGAGGTAGGAGAAAAGGAAAAAGAGCTCCTACTTAGTATAAAGTCCATTGTAATGGATTCCAAATGAATTATAATGCCTTTTGTTTTGGCGAGAAAAAATGGATTTAAATCCATTTTTAGTCCAATTTTGTTGTCTGAACATAACATGGGAATCGATTGTATTTACAACACTTTAGACCACGAAAATCCATTAAAATCGATTTGTTTTCACTTTTCTCAAATGCGGTAACAGTTAAATTTCGGTGGCCAAAAATTTTACAAGTCAATCATGCATAATTTATTCAATTCAAAACTCTCCTGTAATATTCGGATTTGACATTTTATGTTCATTTAAACTAATTGTTTTGATAGGTATTGACATTTTATGTTCATTTTGTATTTGTGAAACTTGACTATTAAGAAAAAATTATGTTGGCCTTTTCTTTTTCATAGCTTTTTCGTCTGAAATGCCAGATCTGCAAAAATTCAACTTGCGTCTAATTTCGTTTCTGTAGCATACATCCGTCTAATTTGCTTACCGTCAAAGTTCCTAGGCCCCGTGTAAAATATTATCGATGGCACTGGAATTAGTTCAAATACGAACTTTCATCTCTTTGGGCTCTGAAAATTGCAAAAACGTTTCATTGTTTTTCGTCAATTATGCTTTTTGTAATTGTTCTTTCTTCTGGGCGGCCGCAGAATTGCAGAATATTTAAAGAATAAGGGCAGTATTTGCAAAGGTTTTTTGAACCGTATGACGCACGCAGACAGCGTCGGATCTCGGTGCTTTGTTGTCCCGTTTTCTAATTTTCAAATTCATTTTCCTCATTTCCTTTACTGTTCAAAAGCAGCGATTATTGTTTTTAAACTGATGACGTCTTTTCCTTGTGCAAATGAGGGCCATTTAAGATATTATATGCTTATTGTTGCGCAACGTAGCCTAAATGGTCAACTTGTTTAAGTGGTGATTTCATTTACAAAATTGTCCATTGCTGACAGTTCAGTCATGCGCAGATCTTCTGCAACGATTGATTTTTCGAGCTTTTTAACCAAAAAAAGGAAAGTTGCGAGTTGCATTTTCACTTCCTTTCAGCTTGTCAGTTTGATTCAGCAAAAATTCTCTTAATAGATAGCCTTCGGCAACTAATATTGCGCTCAGTTATATGTTGTCTTTTACTTAACTGCAAAAAAGCAGCAGCAGCAGTTGTTGTTGTTGTTTGTATACCTGGTACGGAAAGAAACTGAAAACGCAGTGAAAAAGTTGTGAAAAGGTGTGAACATTTAATACCTCAATTACAGTTGCTGAAGTGAATTTGATGACGTCAGCAATATGTTTTAAATTATCAATGAGAGGACGTAAAAATTGCATCTTTCCCCTGCTGCTGTGTTCTTGGCCCTTAGTTAAAAACCATCAACAACTCCCTGGCCTAATTCCCTGGCGGCCGAATTTGAATATTTTAGAATGAAATTCGAAAAAAGCGTCCTAGGTACTATAATATAAGCTTTATGTCCTTTTAAAAACCCGTTTTAATAAAAGATACATGTATTACATGAATCGCACCTTTTAATTAAATTATGTAAATTTTGGTATCGGTTTGGGGGTTGCGTTTCCAGTATGCCCGATTTCTTCCCCTGTTTAAAAAACACTGATCGTAATGGGAAAATTCTGGGATAATGCATAAAATACGGATGCTGGTACATATTATTTGCTATTAAAACGATTCTGTCGTATTTAATTTGCAAGTGTTTGCCCTCGACAGAGCATTCTGTGAATAGCTTATTTTTTTTTCTACGCCAATTTGCAGAAGTTACTCTAGGGTGCTATTTTTCCAATTCCAAGTATATTCTGAAAGATTCTTTTATAATTTCTTTTCAAAAAAATTTTTTCATAGAGGTTTTAAATTAGTTTTTTTTTCTCAAATTTGGTTAAAGCACGCACAAGTTTAGTCAGAAATTTGGAAAGGATCTTTTGTCTGGGGATTAATAATACCCACTGCTTCTCTGTTTAACAAGATTTTTCCCCTAGACTTTTCCCAAAGGCAACAGTAATTGGGGATTTAATTTGTAATGCAATTATCAAAGTGTCAACTCTCGGAGAGACTAACCGTCGAATGCTGGAAACACCTTGAAATATATATATTTTTTTACTTTTAACGGTGACAAATATATCGCGGGTTATCTTTTAAGTAGCTGCCCATAAAACAAATTAGCCTAATAGAATTTATTTTGCCCGGGAAAACTTCTTATTTCTGGGTCTTATTTCCCCGTTCCTTGTCAGCAGAAAAAAGGCGATTGGTTTTATTTTTTTTTACAATTATAACCAATTTCGCCTAAATTTTCCTTTTAACTGGTGCAAAAATTACATGGCATTTTGGGCCCGTATATATAACAGCTAGTTACCCCCTTGAAATAATTTATTTAGCCAAAGAGGGAAGCACTGTTTGTTACTCCCACGCAGGCTCTAATCCAAATCTATCGTATTATAATAACTGCTAAGTGGGTGCTGATAAATTTGCTGAAAAAAGTTACCTCTCCTCGGTCTCGAACCAATCGTATTAATCTTCAGCAGTGTGTCGTCATCAGCGTTTTAATTTTGTACCGCTTCTCCTGTTTTTCAAGTTCAAATCGACAACAATTCGGAGGAGCAGTCTGCGTTTCTTTCCTGCTTCCACCCTCGGAGTCAATCAAATACATCAGTTGTTCGTAACCGGAAACCGGATTGGCCTATCATCCCATTAATTATCTCATCCGCATACGTTCACTTTCAGACCCTGCACTGCTCTACTCTTTGTCCGCCAGATTGCTCTTATCACTCACACTCATTGCGCTACTGCAGACAATTGGCTTCAAAAACAACAATCGCCCAAATACTACTCAGCCAATAACAACAATTTGTAAGTATATCATTCGAATCAACCAAACGACCCCGCCCCCCCCCCCCACCCCCCACCCCGCCTCCTGCTGAATCCCCCCTCCCCCTCCCCCGCGTCCATCTCCTCCTCCGATCAGAAACCAAAATTCAAATACTGGCTACGCTTTACAACTTCTTTGGTACTATTTTAAGGATCCGCCTCTGGGCATCATTGGGAATAAATAGCTGGCTATATTGTAAATTTTATCATCTTTTTAGTAAGTGTTAGTCTCGCTGCACATAGATTATATCGTGCTCCCGTTTTAAATTCTGGCTGAACTATCATTTTATCCTTGGGGCTCTAAAAAACGGCAAGTATGCCCCTCCCCCCATTTTGGCTGACCAGCCGCAAAAGTACTAAATATGCCCCCCCCCCCCCCGTAAAATCATAAAAAGTCTTGTACGATCATGTAAGTTATGATTTGGACAAACTAGACATGTATTCACACAATAATGATCCAAATACTGATTTACACAAGAGTAGTCAAATATTGTGCAAATATAACAGATCGTTCCGACCACCGTCGGAGAACCAGAATGAATAAACAATTTTTCGTCTCCAAAAATTATGTTTCATTTGTGCGTGTAGTGGGGAGAAGGATTTACTAAGACTGAAAGCATTAAGGCTGGCTTTAGTTTGCTAAAAGAGTTATTGCACAATTCAGAACAAAAAGTCTCAAGAAATCGATCTATGAGTTTTAGTCTAACTTCGAGCGTGTAAAGCCAGCGAACAGGTCTTTTAAAATAAATTTTTGATTTCATTAGCAAAAAACTCAATTCAAAAAACTTTTTTGTTTGATATTCACTTTTGTTTTTATTCATTATTCATTTTTTGTCGGCCATAACTAATTCACTATAATGCTTTTATCTAGTTTTTTCATCACACTCCGCCTACAAAACGACACTAGTTGAAAAAAAAACTATTTTATAAAGTTTTTTCATGAACGTGGCCGGATTATTCTGCGCTACTTGCACAGCAACTGACTATTCTTGTTAAATTTTCCTGTAAACTTCAAAACCTCGTCAAAATTTTGTCCGCGCTTGCTGTCTGTCTGTATGTAAATTTATATCTGATTCAATGAATTTGATTTTCGAGTTTTCGTCAAAGTTCCCAAAAAAAGTCAGATCAACGCGTTTTAAAAAGTCGTGTCTTTTCGTGTGGTTTTATATTGTTTGCTTATTTTCGTTTCACTTAAATGCTTGCACCTGAAATTGAGCAACTTTTCACTTTTCAACTTTTGTACTCTTCTTAAACATTGCTTCTTAAACTTTTCAGTTTTGCTAGCAATTCAACCGCTGATTTTGTCATAAATTTTATAGACTAAAAATGCGAAAAATTACACCCTTTGGATGAAAAATTTGGGCCAGAATTTAGGTAAATCAACTAAACTATTTTAGGTCTGCTAAAACTCTAAGCAAACTTATTTAATTGACATTGAAAGCTATTAATGTTATTTAACTTCCTATAGTTTTGTTTAAATTTTCCGCTTTTAATACAATCTGAACAGGTGTTTTAAATAACAAGAAACCAATCAAATGTTGTTCTAAATCATGAGCTCAAGCAGATGAAAAAATCTAAAAATTCAAAATTTCATCTTTCATTTGACAAGTGCCTAAGTAGAGTAGGCAAATAATTTGAATCGGGCTTAAAAAAAAGTCACAAATCTGAAAATTTTTACGGATTCAAAAACCATTCAATAATTGTGCTAATCAGCTTTTATTCGGCAAAAAAGTTGTTCTTTTCTTTTCTAGATTTTGTGAAATTTTTTTATATGAACACATAAAAACATCATAGAGTGACAATTCGTAGCAAACGACAATTCAGAAAAGGCTGAAAACAGTAAAAGAAGATTCATTGGCAAACACTGACTCACGGGCTTTATGGGAGAGGTAGTGGTCACCTCAAAAACTGAGAGGTAGTGGTCACCTCCTGCTCATGGCCTTCTTGTTACGATTTTTTGCTTATTATGGATTTTCCCAAAATGTTGTCTGACCATGCAATATAAACTCAAAAAGTATTCAAAAATCATTGCCACTTTTAAAAAACTACAAAAATAATCTTGTGGCAGTAGATTTCTGACCATGCGAACATCTATAAATTGCTCCGAAAGTTACAAAGTAATCAAAGTTTCTAGTCATCAGGAAAATGATATAGTCAGGAGGCACTTAGCACAGTGGTAAGGCGTTCACTTTGAAATTGTCAGATCGTGTATTCGATCCCAAGCCATGGCAATGATAGTGTGTGAGGACAAGCACTCACTTGACCTCCAGCTTCAGGTCTACCACAACCTTACAACCTGACAAAATTTGGCCGCAATAGTGGTACCACGTAAAAGTTCTAGACGCAAGAAAACGGCCTTGATTCGCAAAAAACAGCTTCGCTCAGCAAAATAACACTTTCTGGAATGCGGGGAGATGATACAAATGGACTATCCTCGATAGAACTGTTAAGCCCTACTGATAGCTCCTCTGCGATTCGCAGGAACTACAATTATTATTAATTTTTATTATTGTCAAAAATAACCGACAATAACGAGTTTTGTGCTTGAAAAACATCTACTGAATACTTAAAAAAAGCAATACATAGTGAAAAGTTACCCGCAAATTTTCACATTTTATAAGTGAATCACATGAAAAGGCAGGCAAAATGTCCTATTTTTTTTCTTTTTCACATTTTTGGGAGAGTTCCAAGATTTGTGAGCCTCAATATTTGATCGGTCGTTGTTTTTTTATAGGTTTTATAAGAGAATGATTAAAAGATAGCATTAGAAAAAATCCCAACAAATGAATTGGTCTTTTCTGAAACACAAAGTTTTCTAATGCACTATTTTCCTCTTCTCAAACATTCTTTCTTTTATATGAACGTCGGAACAATTTTTTCAAGAAAAACTGATCTGAATCCAGTTTTGGCAAACTAACCCAAAATTTTTGCCAATTAAACCAAAACTAACCAGTCCGCTGTGATCTGGGGTGGTTATTTGAGCTGTGAACGGACTTCTTTATCACCTAGAATTTTTGTTTATAATTTCCCTGAGTTTTTCTACTGCCTTTTGAAGTCTATAGGCTAGTGTTTGACTCAAAATATTGATTACTTAAAAACAAAACTGGAGAAAAAAAATTTTTTGAGATTTTTTTGAAAACCTTTCCACACACACAATGTAAAGTAAAAAGTGATATATTTCCTAAATTGCAAACTTCAAATTTACTAAAAACATGCCTCCACTCAGTTTGGAACTCTGATACGGATTAAATCTCCACTTACGCGTTAAAACCAGGAAAATATACCTTCAATTTGGGCTTAAGAGAATAATACTTTTTGGCTGATAATAAAAAAATTTCCGTCACCTACTTTCGTAAAAAAGTCGAAAAATCATCAAAATTCAAGTTCATGAAATAGATTTTGTTTTAATTATAATCGATTACTTTATAAAAAAAACAATCAATTAAAATTCATTAACTTGGATTATAATCAATTTCAAATCCAGTATAATTTTCTGCTATACTCACAGCATGCTCGAAATCTAAACCTAATCATTTTACATAAAACTCGCGTTTGACCCTTCCTCCTTTCCCATCCGTTCACGTGTTCACCCCCTCCGCGCCCCCGCGCGATTGGAGTATGGGTGGGGTGCCGCAAAGCTTACTTTTTTTCTAGATAAATCTTAGAAATCAAACTAACAGAGCAAACACTCTGATGTTAACCGAATTTTCAACGCATCTAAATGTTCGCTTGTTACATTTTTTCATTGAATGGTACATTGCAATGCTTTACACATAAATGTTCTGACAAATTTATTCATTTATGTTTTGGTTATTTTCAAAAAAGCTCGGCCAAATGAGTGTTGGCTTTCATAATGTAGGCCACCCAATGTTCTTGGATTTCATTTTTATGCCGAGGTTTTTATTCGGTCAGCTCGTTTTCAGAAAACATTAGAAGAAAATTTTTCAAGGAGCAAAGAAGTATCAGTAGCGATATCACTTGACCCACCTTCAATTTTTTCTTAAGTGTCAAGAATATAATTTAATTTCAAGGGGTGAGCGCTTGCCAAAAAAACGCTACTACTTGGTCAAATTTTTAACGTTTCTGAGATTTTTTGGAAGTTTGCCTGGCCGCGCAAAAATTTTTTTCAAAATAGGACCTCAAATGTGTTTGGTTGAGCTCGAAAAATTTATTGGGTCGATCTGAGAAAAGTTTGTTTTTTGGAATGCCCTTCAAGAGAAATCTTATTTCCGCGCCTCATCAGCATAAAATCTCGCAGGAAAAGCTGAAAAACGTTTTTAAGGCCTCAATGTTTTTTCTGCTTGATCGTTTTGTCATTTTGGTGGGTTAATATTATCATGGCTAGCATTGTGTTGGTTGCCTCATTTGAGTTTCTTCATCTGCACAAACTTTGAAAACCCTGAAAATTGTGAAAAATGTGAGACAATTTTTTGTGATTTTTTTTGTTTATTTGTGTTGATGTACGCTTCATTTTGTCTCCTGGAGATAATGCTGCGATCTGCAGTATTTCAGGTGTTTTCTGAATTAATTTTATAAATGTAACTGGAACCGCAAATCGTGTCAGCTTCTGTTTCTCCTCTCAGTGCATAGTCTTCGATAAATTTGAGAAAAATGTTTTGCTTCATTAATAGACAGAGAATGGACGCCTATAGTGATTGAAACCAGTGTTTGGAACTTTGTATTTGATATTTATGTTATTCCGTTCAAATCTCTTATGGCACCGACAAATCTCCAGAATCATTCAATGACCAGTCAGACAAAAAGTTTTGCTGCAACGGGGCCAAAAATGCGGAGGGGAGGGGGGGGGGGGGGTGTTCGGCGGGTCGTTCTGAAAAGTGAATTAAAATGTCGCCCTCCCCACCCATCCTCACATGTTACTATATTTAAGGAAACGTAGATACCGTCCCCAAGTCTTCTACGAAGAAACACCAACCTTAGATCTGGAAAAAAGGCCGATGAGATATTTAGCAGAATGGCGGATCAGACGGCATTCTACATCTTCATCGGATTGTTCGGCATCTGCGGGCTCATTCTACTGCTGAAGAAGATCTACCTCAAGTATCAAGACAACAAAGCACGACAGGAGGAGCAGTACCAACCCCTAGTAGACTGAAAATGGGGGGATCTCGAAAGTTAAGGGGGTGATAGTTAATGATGGCTATTCAATGTTGTATATTTCTATACTTTTAATGTCAATCAGTCTAATTTATAGATGTATTTATCAAGTAGGGCCTTGATAGGTTATTGTACACCACCAGCACCAGCTGTCAGTTTACCAATTATCAGTCAAAACTTATTCCTAATTTGAAATTTATTATCGAATTTTAATTTATTAAAAAATCCGCAAATGGCTTCTGCTCTGAGTAAATCTCCATAAACCAATTGTAAACTGAAGCTTCGATCTTACGAATAAATTTTTCCATTGGATAGTTTTTGTGATTGTTTGCATCAAAGTTGCTCTGAAGAAGAAATTTTAGTCATTCAGTTTTTCTGTTAACTTGAGGATAAAATATCAAGTAGGTGTTTTTATGCGTTTTTTCAAAAGTAGGTTTTGTAGAAGGCTCTTGGCGGTTGTTTTCTTGGATAATAGTTTTTAAAGCCAAAAAGTATTTAGTAAGATGGTACCGAAGTAAAGTGATTGTAGCGCAACAACATAGATTTCGAAATGTGGGGCAAATATTTTGTTTTACACTGATGCTTGCTTTTCTACAATAACGTTTGTAAAATTCGGGATCTACTTAACAATCCCCCCTATGGTATCTACCAAAAAATCTTTATCCCCTCTAAATAAATACAGTAAATTAGGACTAGAGCTTTGTATTGAGAAATGAGATTTTGCTGCATTCTGATTGGTCGAAATTTCGACTATATTAATCAACTAAACAATGTTCCTTTCTTGAAGGAGAGTGTTGTTCAAAATATCTAAAACTGGTAACTTCAAAAGCTCGATTAACTGATCCAGAAGCCATAATTAGGGATATCCGGATGCTGTTTAAGTAGCACAGAATGTTCCGATCATAGTTCTGACAAAAATTGAAACTTTTTTCTACTTCTCTTCAAATTAGGGTCGTTTCAAGTAGGTGGTGAGATTTGATTTGAAAACTATACAATCGCGTGGAAAAGCAATAAATTAGGCATGATCGACACAATTTGCCTCAAAAATGATTTAAAAACAAAGTAACATGAAAAAAATTGTCGCTTTTACGTTGTTTTCTTACCTTTTGCGCAAAAGTTTTAACTTTTATAAAATCTTTTTTGGCTAAACAAGCGCTGAATGAAGCATCCAAAACTGGTTTTTTTAAGTTTTAAAATTGAGTTTGTTATACCAAAAGTATTGAAACACAGTAAGTTTCCATATAATGAGCGTTACTTGCTCGAAATTAGACTTTATCTGAAAAAATTCGAGCCACTTTTTTCGACACTGGGATAAGTTTTCGGAAATTTTTCATGTGGTTCGAATTACGGTTTTACGATGATATATCACTCGGCCCATTTCAATGACTATTTCTTAAAACTGGTTTTGTGTTCAAAACAAAAGAAAAATCTAAAATATACCAGATCACAAATTTCTTCTTTTCAATGGTCGGAAAAACAAAATTTCTTGCATGTTTTATTTTTTTGATGAAAGTTAGATGGTTGCTGTGGATCTCGCACAATATGTTCCAACCATACTTGTGGTTACATAAAAAATTGCTCTTTTTCTTTTTTTCATTCAGTGTATTTTTGTTTATTGTTTTTTTTTTCTTATTTTATGAAACGATCAGCCTGCAGATATTCAAACGCTTCCATAGACTTTTAGAAAGCTTTGGTTTTCTAATACAAAACCTGAGCTGATTTAAAAACATGTAAATTAAAGCTTCATCCAATCAAAGAAAGTAACGAAATATTCTCTAGACAAATTCCATTTTTTAATGGGCCTCTTGGCGAAATTTTGTATAGCATCTAAAAGAAATTGGTGTCAAGAGCTTTTAGAAAAACTGACTTGCAATCATTTGTACTAAAAATATAGAGAATTAAACGTAACACTACATTGACTACAACAATTCAAACTGGGGAAATTCACGCGCAAAATATGTCATAGTATAATGAAAGTGGTTGAAAATAAATTTCCAAATTGAATTGATCAATCAGTTTGCTCTTTTTATAGGCTACCAAATTCAAAATATATCACTTTGTTTTTTAAATAGCGTATGGCGGGATAAAAGTGAGAAATAAATCTGAAAAAAGAATTGAAGAAAAAATCAGAGTTTGTACATTATCAATCGGGGCTTCGCGCTGACACGAACAGTTTTATTAAACTTAGTTTACACCTTCTTGAAAAATTTGATTTTCCGACAAAGAAAATTCCCAGCAAGGGCATCATATATCATGCAACCTGCCTGATGATTACCGAGAGCTTATATTTGTTCTAACCTAACTGCGGTTAGACTCCGCCTGTTTAGATATTATTTTGATGCTTGATTTTTCTACAAGCGACGAATTAGCCCGCACTCATTTTCGTTCCAACTTTTCGGTTGAATTCAGTAAACGATTCAAAGTTTTATTTTGTTAATATTTGATACTTTGGCAAATCAAAATTTAGGTTTTTGTCGAGACCAGTTAGAGCGAGGCAGTCGTAACATTTAGAACATTGCCCTGTAATGCAAGTTTTTTAGGAAGCTTACTGTCTCTTTTCGCTGACTGAAATATATAGAAAACAATAAAGAAAATTATTGGAAAATTAACATTTTTTTCCTTATAGTTTTTTAATGTCTTCTTTTCTTTTGAGAATTTTGCAATGATAATCAGAGTGTCATATTATGTGACTTTTTCGCAGCAGCTGGTTTTATGTATATGTATATAAATGTGTATACACAACAATTTTTTTTGGTATGAATGTGAACAAAATGCTCAAAATCCATTAGTATTTTCTCTTTTTTTAATCTTATTTCTTCTGCAAGAATAACTAGACGTCAAAAAGGGGATCAAAATTTTTTTGCTGAATTTGTAAGAATTTTTCGAGCAAAACAGTTCAAAATTCTTTATAAGTTGATGTATTGTTGTTTCGACTTTGAATAAAAAGATGAATAAAGTATCTTTGGGGTGATTTTTTGTTAACCATTTATTCAATTTTCGACTTCCGCAACCAAAAAATTTTTTTCAAAAAGTTACTCTTTTCGAAACAAAATTTAACGTTGTCCTGAAATCAATTTGTTAACATTTTGCACCTGTGGATATTTTTTTTAATGAAACTATAAAATTTGGAACAAAAAGCGCTCGATATGTCGCGCTCTTGTAAAAAAAAAAAGCGGCAAACTACATACTTTCAAATTGAATCGAAGTTTTCTTGTTTCCTTTAATAAATCTTTTTATATTTTAGATATCGTTTGGGGGGTTAAAAAACATAATTTTTCCCAGTTTTTTCAAATATTCCATCAAATTTTGAAGCAAAATTTTTATTGCATTTTGAGGGGCAGTCGGAGTTTTCAAGTTTTTGACCTGATACACCAACAGTAATGCTATAAATCTTATTATCTCTTAAGCCTTTTTGAAAAACCGTTGTTATTGCTTTGCTCAAATTAAAATACGGCTTAGCATAAAATTTTGCTAAGAAACGTTTCTTTTAATGATTTTGAATGAATAATTGATAGTTTTTTAGTCTAATCGTTAACTTCAAAGTAAATCTGATGACAAACACAGCAACCGCTTGTTAACAAAAGAGTTTTGATGAGGCTCATATACCATCATGGCTCAATGCTTTTAAAATGCGTTTGACCTGCTGTTCTATCTGATGAAGATAACAAAAAAGTTTTATCAAAAAAATATTGCAACCAAAGACTTTTTAAGCGTAATTCATTAGAACATTAGTTTTGCTGATGTGTTGTATAGCACTTCGGTTTCTTATGCATTGAGGCCCGCGATTATTTTTAATTTTTTTTTCGCTTATATAATAGTTACGTAATAATATGACGCAAGACTTTCCAACGAAAGATACAGTTCAGTTAGCCAATTTAAAGTGAACCGACTCTCGGTATAAGGTTGTCGATAGGCGCAGTACACAAGAATCATTTCTTCGCGGCAATGACCTGATCTAGTTTTCATATAAAGACCTACCTATTTAAGATAAGCTCACAGCACGTTGGCGCAAAGGAGGCAGTCTCTATTAACTCGGGCAATACAGCATCTTTTAACCGAACGGCAGAAATCAGATCTTTGCGCTACTTTTTGTAAAATGTCAGATATTTTCCCTAGTAAAAACTTTTTCGAATATTGGCAACATTTTTGGTTTTTCGGATGTTTGACATAGTGAACGTTTGCACGTTAAACGTATATATTGTGACCAAAACGTTATAAATTGGAAAAGATTTTATATAAGCGGTCATAGTCTGGGAATATCGTATTTTTTTGCAATATTTTGGTCATTAGTCGCAGTATAAGGTGAAAAATATTCGTGATATAGTTCGTAATTGAATCGCAGTATAGTCTGAAAATGGTTCGCGGTAGACTTGACGATAAGTCGCAACAGTCTGGACTTAAATCATGAACATGAAAGCTGCCAAGGTCTCAAACAAAAACTCAAGAAGCAATAACTGGTTTTTTCAAAACTTGATACATTATGAGTGAAATTTGAAATTTAAAACTATAAGATAAAACAACACATTATAAAAAAAGTAAGTTTTGAGAAAAATAATTTTTTTTAATAAAACGTTTTTGCTTAGTAGTTGAGCAGAAAGTGTCAAATGGCAAGCAATAACCGAATTGAACACATAATCTGTAAGATTTTAAAAATCTTTCAAAAAAACGTGGCGGCTAATCATGCCGGTTGCGAACAGTTTTTTTATGGATTGCGCCTGACGCAGACATATCCCGGGGCGAGGTCGGCGACTCATGATGCGATCGAAATGGGTCGCCAAAATGGACTTTCTACGACCAAAATTTAATCATATTCGACTCATGATTCGACTCTGTTTGACTCATGATTTGACCCTGTTCGAAACATGATTTGATAATTTGATCATATTCGAATCTTAATTCAACCCTGTTCTTCTCAAGGTTCGACCCTATTTGACTCCTGATTTGACCCTGTTCGAACCATGATTTGATAATTTGATCATATTCGAATCATGATTCAAACCTGTTCTTTTCAAGATTCGATCCTGTTTGACTCATGATTCGATCTTGTTCGACCCAATATTTGACCTTGTTAGACTCATGATTCAACCTGGCTCGATCCATGTTTCGACCAAATTTGAACTATGATTCAACGCTGTTTGAGGCATGATTTGACCCTGTTCGATAAATGATTCGAGCATGTTTGACTTATGAGTCGTCGACCTTGCTTGACTCAAGATTTGACCTCGTTCATTTCGCTATTCGACCCTGTTTGACCAATGATTCGACTCTTTCCGACTCGATTGACCTTGATCGTCTCAAGAT